CTGTGTCTCTATCTTTAGAAGAACTTACCTTTGACCTCTGTTCTGATGGAGAATATTCATTTGAAGTTTCTACCTCACCCATTCCTATCAGTAAATAATCTTTTAATATAGTTAACCCTGGAGGTGGTAGCTAATAATGTGTTTCTTCTACAGCTACACATGATGTGCAGAGGGCCACAGTTTCTAGTGTCAGAGATGATAGTGAGATCATTGTGACTGCAGAGTTTCTCAAAAACACGACAGCCAGAGGATGTTTTGTGGTGCTGCAGTCTGGGAATGAGTCCACTGCTGATGTGTTCAGAGTCTTGCTAAGACCTGGACCTAACACCACCCTGCTGACTAGCACCATCAGTGACACACCATCATCAACATACAGAGCCCTTTTCTATGACCTGGAGGAAGATGGACTCCCTAATAGGAGCCCAGCATATCAACCAAACAATGTCATTACTGTTAATAGGAACGGTGAGTCTATTGCCAATTGAAAATTAATAAACTACAACATTATCTTACAGACGCAGGCCAAATGTAGCATCTAAAGTTTTGAATAATGTGAGCCTGGTGTCAAAGACTTGGTGGTTCAGATGAGGTGTGGGTTCAAAGAAGGTATAGAGGGAGCCTCATGTGTCCTGGTCTATCGAGAGCATGGTAACAAGACACTAGTGGTGGAGGAATATCCTCTGAACACTGTCTTCCCTGTGATTCTGACTGTTGATGGAGATCAATACACATTCGCAGTCTTTGGAAAGAGCAGTTTTGATTTAGAAGAAAGACCGATTGTAACAGAGCTGTCAGAACTAGTACCACAACACACACAGACTGAAGTAATCACTTCAGGTATGTTTGCACCTAGGTGCACAATACACATTTACTAGGACAGCCGTTTTGGTAAACAAACATTGTATTTCATGAACTGCAGATGAGGAAGGGATAATGGATACGCAAGTTGTTGCCAATATCCATAGGTAGGTGGTGTATTATTTTCCCAGAGTTACTGTCTTTCTCTCACAGGTACGGCACTAGCAGGTGTTATGATATGTCTCACAGCAGTGTTGGTGCTAATGGTGGTAGTCAGACAGTGCCACGCCCACAGGAAGAAGCGATCTGCAGGTATATAGGGTGGGTGTGGTGTGTGACTGTGTGTCATGTGAACTCTCCTCCAGCGCCAGTGGCAGTGTATGATGAGGTAGTTCTTCCCCTGACCACCACCTCCTCCATTCCAACTGAGCCGTCTCACACTACTACCATCCCCACTACTGGCAATGTGGCCTATGAGACCACAACTCCCATCAACACTGCTCATAATGTAACTCATAAAATTCAGTCCACCTGATGCTGTCTATTTTTATAGTGTGCTTGTAATATCCACCACAGTATAAGCTATTGAGTCATCGACAATGATCTTGGAACCAGATGAGCCTGACTCTGTTGGCGTGTTCTGTTGTAAGTAAATGGACCTGTAACATTTTTTCTAAGGCACGAACACATGTGCTTTTGAAAGCACAGCAGTACACCTTCTCAAGCTCCGGAATAGAAAAATATCTGATTCTGTATAGTTCGCACTCAACGATTCAGTGGTCTTTCCCTGCATCGTTTTCGATTGTTTCCGGCTTGATTTCCGGTTATATATCCGGTCCGCAGCGCAGCGACCTCGGTGGAGGAGGTGCGCATGCGTAGATCCATTCGTTGATCGGCGCGATGAATCCGTCACTAAGTGTTGTCGCAGTGTTGCTCATCAGCTCTTCTATTCCCTCGTTGCTCAAGGTACGCACGAACTGAACTCATTCACTCCTGACCCCCACAGAAAGTTGCTGCATCTCCTGTATCTCTCTACACCAGAGATTCTCCTGCTCCTGAGAGTACAACTGTCTTTGTAAACCAACCGGCAGTTTTTACATGTGAGACAAGAGGTGGTATCACTCTGTGGAGAGTCAATGGAACACAGCGAGAGCTCTTTTGCCTGAAATACGTAGTGACCTGGTTATCTCAGAAATTACTACTCCTGAAGGTACTACAGTGGAGACTCTGACCATCCCAGCCAGAGCCCAGTACAATGGAACTAGAGTTCAGTGTCTGTCTGTGTTTATTTGGTGGCTCCCTGTAGTGGAGAGTGACAACGCCACATTGACCATTCAAGGTTTTAGCTGAAAAGTGTGTTGTAAGTCAAGAAATTGTTAGCCATTATTTCAGGTCCACTGTCAGCAGTAGGTGAGTTGAGAGCCACCAGCAATGCCAGCTCAGTGACCATCTCGTGGAGTGCTCCATTCTCTCTGGATGTGACTGGTGTTGATCCTGATATCTGGTACTCTGTCCTCATCTACAATGTGACAGATGAGAACAACCCAACAGCCATCCTCTGTACTGACTGTATCAATATCACTGAGACACACTACACCTTCACTCCTGACTACCTCAGTCCTTGTCATGTGTACAACTTCTCTGTCATCCCTCTCAATGGAGCTGGCCAGGGAGAGAGCAGTCCCTTTATCTCTGGATATGTTTTGAAGTGTGAGTACATGTTATAATGGGAATTATTTTTGCTTCTGTAAATTCATTTTATGTCCTAATGCTGCATGTAGGTGGCATTGTTTTTCAGTAGTGTGCCTGCGTTTTTGAATTTCTGCATACCCGCACTTTTGCACATCCTATTCTCTCAAATAAATAGCACACAACAGAATGTCCATCAGTATTGATGGCTGGTATATAGCAACATCACGTGTGGGTGTGTGCAAATGCCCATACCAGTACTGCACCTGTTTGAGCACTTTCCATGCTTGGCTGGATACTTTGATATGCCATGTTTGCAATTTGTGCAAAAAATGGCACAGAATGTCACCAGTACTTGTGCAGACCGAGTGCTGATGTGACTTGTGGCATAATTATATTGCATATCCGCTGCCATTCTCGCATGAACAGACAACTAACTCTGTAACATTTCTCTTTCTAGTGTCAGCACTTATAAAGACTCACATCCGAGCTATCTCTAGGGAGAAGACCAATGTTATGTTTACGGTCAGTAGTAAGTACCATACACAATACTAATGTTTCAATGTCTGTTGTTTTTGTGATAGAGTAATCCCACCAGAGAACTTTGTAGTAGCTGGAGAGTCACTCCTGATGTAGATGATGATGGTCTTGTCATTGAAGAGCCTCCATCACCAGAAGGACCAGATGTCACCTACCAACTCCGTGCTGACAATAGATATTCGTTCATGGTGTCCCTTTCTATTTTCACTAGTGAGATAGCCCTCTCGCGGATCAATTTCAGTAATATTTTTGTATTTATGACAAACAGCACTAGATTGCCTCCTTTTTACTAACCCTTATGTGGAAATGTCAGAATGGGTGGGTCTTTCGTGTCCAATACTACATGTACATAGTAGGTCCACAGTTTTCTGTATTCACATGAAACACTCGTATGCTGCTTACGTTTATCTGGTCATTGAACAGTCCTTGAAAAAGCCATATGCATACATATACCCAATTTCATGCTTATTCTGTTATCTATTGTGCCAAGGGCAATGATTGGATATAATTATGTGTTTACAGCTACAAATGATGTCCAGAGTGCTGCCGCTGCCACCACCAAGGGTACCAATAATGAGATCACTTTTACTGGAGAGTTCATTGAAAGCACAACGGCTCAAGGATGTTTCGTAGTTTTAGAGTGTGAATATGGAAACCCTGATGTGTTCAGAGCCCTACTACTGCCTGATGACTCCAGCACTTCTGTGCAGAGTACTATTCATAACATTTTATCTTCAACGTACAATATGTTAGTGTATGACCTTGAAGAAGACGGACTGCCAACAGCCACTGCTTGAACAGAACACTACTGTCACTGTTATGGGGAACGGTGAGTGTCTGCTGATTTGTGTACATTTTACCATTCGTTCAAATTTCTATTGCAGATCACATCGCTGATGCAGAATCTCAATTTCTAAACAATGGCAGTTTGTACTGGAATGAGACAGCAGTGAAAATGAATTGTAAGTTCAAAGAAGGTATAGAGGGAGCCTCATGTGTCCTGGTCTATCGAGAGTATCGGTAACAAGACACTAGTGGTGAGGAATATCCTCAGAACACTGTCTCCTGTGACTCTGACTGTTGATGGAGATCATACTACATTAAACGCAGTCTTGGAAAGAGCACTGTTTTGATTTAGAAGAAAGACCAATTGCTAACAAGAAATGTACAAGTAACTAGATCAACCACAACACCACAGACTGAGTAACAACTTCAGGTATGTTTTCACCTAGGTGCAAATAGCCCATTACTATGGGCAAGTTTTGGTAAACGAACATTGTATATATTTCGATGAACTGCAGATGAGAAAGGATAATGGATACGCAAGTTGTTGCCATATCCATAGGTAGGTGGTGTATTATTTCCAGAATACTGTCTTCTCTCCATAGAACGCACTAGCAGGAGTTATGATATGTCTCACAGCAGTGTTGGTGCTACTGGTGGTAGTCAGACAGTGCCACACCCACAGGAAGAAGCAATCTGCAGGTATGGGGGTGCGTGTGGTGTGTGACTGTGTGTCATGTGAACTCTCCTCCAGTACCAGTGGCAGTGTATGATGAGGTAGTTCCAACCCCTACCACCACCTCCTCCATTCCAACTGAGCCGTCTCACACTACTACCATCCCCACTACTGGCAATGTGGCCTATGAGACCACAACTCCCATCAACACTGCTCATAATGTGGCTTATGAAACTAATAAAATTCAGTCCACCTGATGTTGTCCCCATTTTATAGTGTTCTTGTATACCACCACCAGTATTAGCTATTGAGTCATCGACAGTGATCTTGGAACCAGATGGGCCTGACTCTCTTGGTATGTTCTGTTGTAAGAAAATGGACTTGTAACATTTTCGCTAAGGTACAAACACGTGTGCTTTTGAAAGCACAGCACAGCAGTACACCTTCTCAAGCTCCAGATGGAATAGAGTGATTGTTTGTTTCCGGTATCCGGCCGCGCGAATCGAACCACCACTGTGGGAAGAGGTGCGCGTGCGTAGATCCATCCGGGCGAGGTCAGAGCGAGCGATGAGGTCGTCACTAAGTGTTGTCGCAGTGTTGATCATCAGTTCTTCTATTCCCCTCGTTGCTCAAGGTAAGCTCGAGCTGCACTCATTCACTCCTGACACCCACACATGAAAGTTAGCTGCCATCTCCCTGTAATTTCTTTCGACACCAGAGATTCTCCGTCCTCCTGAGAGTACAACTGTCTTTCTAAACAGGTCGTCAGTTTTTACCTGTGAGACAAGAGGTGGCATCACTGTATGGCTAGTCAATGGAACACAACGAGCAACTTTTCTGCCTGACATACTTCGTTATCTGGTTATCTCGGAGATTACTACTCCTGAAGGTGTTTTGGTTGCAAATCTGACCATCCCAGCCAGAGCTCAGTACAATGGAACTAGAGTTCAGTGTCTGTCTGTGATAATTGATGTCTCCTTTGTAGAGAGTGACAATGTTACATTGACCATTCAAGGTACTAGCTGAAAGGTGTATTATAAGTCAGGAAATTGTTAGTCATTTATTTCAGGTCCACTGTCAGCAGTAGGTGATTTGAAAGCTATTTCTAAAAATGCCAGCTCATTGACCATCTCGTGGAGTGCTCCATTCTCTCTGGATGTGACTGGTGTTGATCCTGATATCTGGTTCTCTGTCCTCATCTACAATGTACAGGTCCATTTGAACGAGTTAGCAGTATTTACATGTGAGACGAGAGGTGGAGCCTCTGTTTGGGTGGTTAATGGAATGCTCCTGGAAGAATTGGAACAGAGTTCACCAGAGCTACATGCTGATATCTCGACAGTAGCCAACGTTAGTGGCGGCATGACAATGGAAAAATTGACCATCCTGGCCAAAGCCCAGTACAATGAAACTGCATTCCAATGTGCAGTATTTTCATTTGGTGGCTCAGCCCTGAGTGAGAATGCAACATTGAAGATTCAAGGTATTTCTCAGTTTAGAAGTTGAAGTTAACTAAAAGAACAACATTTCAGGTCCACTGTCAGCAGTAGGTGATCTGAGTGACACCAACAATGCCAGCTCAGTGACCATCTCGTGGAGTGCTCCATTCTCTCTGGATGTGACTGGTGTTGATCCTGATATCTGGTACTCTGTCCTCATCTACAATGTGACAGATGAGAACAACCCAACAGCCATCCTCTGTACTGACTGTATCAATATCACTGAGACACACTACACCTTCACTCCTGAATGCTTTAATAAGTACAACATCTCTGTTGTACCTATCAATGGAGCTGGCCAGGGAGAGACGAGTGGAAGTTTAACCTGATACTGTAAATAAATTAGTGAGTATTCATATCTTCCGAGTAAAATGACTATTGTGTAAAGTATTTTCCCATGCCCATGTAGTGGTTCCAGTTATAGAGACCCACATTGAAGCTCTCTCAAGGAGTGAATGCAGAGTTACTCTTTCTTCTTCAGTGAGTGCCTTTGTCAGCAGATCACGTCTATAATGGTACTCCATGTCTCTTCTTCCCTCAACAGGAAGAATTTTCTGGTTTATGTAACTTCAACATTTCCCTTGACGGAATGTATACCTGTCACAGCTTCCCACAGGAGCCTCATTCATTGGGAGGAGAACTAGCCATCTGTGACCTTGCTGCTGATACAGAATATTCCTTGCCACTGACTCTGTTCTATGATGCTGGAGGAATGACTACCATAGTCATCAATTTCAGTAATGAAAATACGATAGCTACATCATGATGTGTATATTATGACAGATTGCTGATTTTCCTGTCTACTGCAGCTACATTCGATGTCCAGAACGCCACTGTCAATGCTGCCAGTAATGGGATCGTTGTAACTGTCAATTTCATCGCCAACACAACAGCCACTGGATGTTTTACAGTACTACAGTCTGAGGATGGGTCACCTGATGAGTTCAGAGCTCTATCAAGACCTGAGTCGGAAACTACTCTTGTAGCTACCATAGACAATGTACCACCTTCAACATACACAGCACTGTTTTATGACCTGGAGCAAGATGGACTACCCAATAGCAATGTGGCATATGTAGGGAGCCAAATTACTGTGGCTGGAGCAGGTAATGTGTGGTGTAGCTATAGCTACGCTTACTTGTTTATTCCCTATTATAGTTACTGATGCACCATCAACATTTCTCGAAAGTAGCAGTGATATATGATACCTGAATGGGTCAGCAGTGAATGTCAGGTGTGAGTTCAAAGAAGGTATAGAGGGAGCCTCATGTGTCCTGGTCTATCGAGAGTATGATAACAAGACACTAGTGGTGAAGGAATATCCTCAGAACACTGTCTTCCCTGTGACTCTGACTGTTGGTGGAGATCTTGAGAAATACACATTTGCCCTCTTTGGGCGAAATAATTCTGATATTGATGGAAGACCGATTGTTACAAAAAAGTTATTTGCATCACCTTCTACATCGTCACCTTCTACACCGTCACCTACTCTTGAACCCACAGTGCCACCTAGAGGTAATACACATTATTACTGTGGTGTTGACTGGTGTCTCTCTTTTTTGCGTCAGGTCCTGCAGGATCATTATTTGTCTTGCAATTTAATGTGGCACAACTTTGCTATCATGAACTATGGCTTTTATATAGGTGAAAACAGCTCCAACTTGACTCTAGTTTTCACCAACCCTTGTCATCGATATACAACCTTGAGTGTTCTCTTTGTCTTGGATTGTGATGGTAATTGTGATTATGAGTGGTAGAGATAATAGCTCTGAGAGAAGAGAAACAGAAATAATCCAGAGAGACCGCTAGAATCATGTAAGAAGTCCCAACTCCAACACCAGGGGCGCGTACCTCCTTGCACACATGATGTTATAACTTACGCTCTGCGACCATGGATCATCAGCAGTATATGAGTGCGGAGAGCGTATCGATGAGTGCGCTATATAACACCCACGTTACTGTAAGGGCAGCAGGGGAAACGACTTCGCCTTATCCAACGTCGTCACGATCCCACGAAAACCCAGAATTACGGATGATAGGTAGCAAACAGCATTTCCCAACCAAGTATCGTACTATCTGCAAGTAACTATTCAAAAACTACAGACTTTAATGGAGGATCCTTGAGCCGACGTTCTTCTCTCTCGGTCTGACTCAGAATTGCAATAGTTATGTACATCCAAAACAATGAATACCAGTGATGCAGAGAACATCCGAGGATAATATATATGACCACAGGACAAGTTGAGAAAGTGATATATTATCTCTGTTGACCAGGTGGAGAAGGAGAGTAAATAGCAGTTGTGGAACTTTCATTCTCAAGGACACACCTACTCTCCCAATAGACTCTAAAGTCGTGTACG